TGTTAACCAGCTGGCTTTCATGCCTAAGGTGGGACTAGAATTCACCAGCACCTGGTAATTGGTCCAAAGTTACCCAGCTGGCTTTCATGCCTAAGGAGGGACTAGAATTCACCAGCACCTGGTGATTGGTACAAAGTTAACCAGCTGGCTTTCATGCCTAAGGAGGGACTAGAACTCCCGGTCTCCCATTTTCTTGAAAGTAACCTTGATATAGGTTTTCTGGCCGACCCTGAAATGGGACGAAGCGAATTCTTATCCCAAGGGTGCTGGTCTTACCTGAAAGCTCTGTCCGGGACAGAACGGCAGGAAGGCAATATTTCTCTCTTCGCTTCCCCAACAGCCGTTGATGAACGAATTCCGGACCAGGGCTCCCTCTTTGAACCGGGGGTTGACGTGCAGGGCGATGTTGCCCATCAGGATGTTTTTCAGGTTCACGTGAAATCTGGATCCAAGGAAAGCACGTTGGTTACTTCAAGGGACACCCTAAATTGCCCTTGGAAGAAACCCAGGGATCGGAACCTCAAACCCCTTTGCTAAAAATACATCAAATGAATGTGGGTGGGTGGTCTTTCCATCCAGGATCTCCAATTCAGGCGTCACTAAACTTTTGATTTCTAGCTAATTTAGCCCCAGGAGGGGCAACTTGGTTTCTTTTTTGGGGGGGGGGAGTCTTTAAGTTGGTGTAGTTGCCTTTGAAGGACATTCCCCCCCTATAGGCTTTCCAAAAATTGTGGCACAGATTTCTAATATTTTGAGGCAGGGAACATGAGAAAGACTCCAGCAGCAGCTGTGTAAGTGGCTAAACCCAGAATATTTAGTAAGAAATTGGGAAACAAAAACCAGACAATAACCAATGCCTTTTTAGAAAGAAAAGAAAATCTTAAAAGGGTTTTGTTTTTCCTCTTAATGACTCCGTAATTCCTTGCATCAAGGTGGAGTCGGGGCGACTAAATGGAGTTGAGCATTTACCAGCTGGATGCCCTTCCTGGCGCCTACGTGGTGTTCATAGCAGATCTTTTCCCATTGCGCCGAGACAAATATCTGCTGCTACTTCGATCCTCACACCCTCCTGATTGTGAGGTGGGAGTTCCACCTCTGGACCACCACACCGCTCAAAATCTTGGAAGGTATAAAGGTAGGCTGTATTGCGAGTATTATATCCCACCCCCCGCGTTCTTTTCCCTCAGGTGGACATACCTGTCTGCTGAATAAGGAATGGTCCCCATAATTATGATCTTACAGGAGGGAAAGAAACGCCCCAGAAGAGGTGCACAAAACGGGGTGGTCTACAAAAGATCAGGATAAAAAGAAGAGAAGAATTAAGAAAAAGAAGAACGTTCCTAAGAGGCAAGTTTGAATCCTACTGATGGGCTGGTCTTAAAGAATGGTTTAAAAAAAGTCAAGATGACTGTGCGGCCGCGGCTTGCCATCTTGATTTCTTTGATCATAGTTGGCGGACAGCCCTGTCTGGCGATTTGGGGCCATGTTCAGTAATCGCCTCGGTCTTTGCCTCCTTATCCAGGGTCTATAATAATAATAATAAAGTTGGAAGGGACCTTTGGTGGTCATCTAGTCCAACTCGCTGCTCAGGCAGGAAACCCTACACCATGTCGGACAAATGGCTGTCCAGTCTCTTCTTTAAAACTTCCAGTGTTGGAGCATTCACCGCTTCTGGAGGCAGGTTGTTCCACTGGTTAATTGTTCTAACTGTCAGGAAGTTTCTCCTTAGTTCTAGGTTGCTTCTCTCCTTGATGAGTTTCCCTCCGTTGCTTCTTGTCCTGCCTTCAGGCGCTTTCCAACTCTGCTTACTTTTCCAAGGTCTGCCAAGGTTGGCTGTTTAAGAGAAAGGAGCTTCATATGGGCAATAGCAATTGGGGCGAGACATTCCATCTCTAAGCAGTAAGGTTGTAAAGCACAACTGCATCATTTAATGACCGCAATGCCTGTAGTCCTGCTTGCCGTTATCAACCAAATCCTGCCGGTTCCCGACAGCCAAAGTCATTGGAGAAGCTAGCATAAAATCCCAAGTCTCTGGCTGGCCGGCGATAAATGGCCATGGCCAGGTGTGAGAGGGGGTACAAGGCTGTGACGGGGTGCATGAGAGGAGCAAGGTGGATCAAGGACGGTGTGGAGGGGTGCAAGGGAAAAGGGGAACAAATGAGGAGGATTTATCCCAGAGACCTGCCAAGTTTTCCCACCGGCTTCCCCACTGACCTTCTGGGAAAGCCAGGAAGGAAGATTGCAAATGGTGATTGTGTGTTCATGGGAAATTCCAACCAGTCGTAAATGCAAGACGGTTGCCAAGTGTCCAGATCGCAATCACATGACAGTGGGATCCCCAGTGACCAGGCATAGCCACGGTTCGTTCAGCATTGTCGTAACTCAGAACAGTCGCTAAATGAATGGCCATAGGTTGAGGAACCTCTGTAGACACGGAAGCTGAGACTATCCAAGGACTACGAAAACCAAGATGGAGATGACCCGATAGCATTTCTATTTTTCCATGGAGTTGAGCTAGATACATTCCATTTTGGAACTGGTGGTCCAGCCTGGCATTGTCCCCTTCCTTTGTCTAGAGACAGTAGTAGTACTTAGTTCAACTTGGTCAATTTTGAAAAGCTAAGTAGGGTCAGACCTAGTTAACAATTAGTTGGGAGATTATCAGAAGTATAGGCTAGCTAGCAGTTTCACAACTACCCAGGAGAGGGCAGTGTTGACTCACTTTGCACTGTAGCCAAGACCAATACATGGATATGTCCCTAAAGTCAGTATCAGCCAAGCAAGCCTCACTCATTGGAGGCCTTAATTAAAAATGAGACTTCAAGGTCACTTTGGAGTAGTAGAACTTTCCCTTTGCAATCTCCAGGTTCTCAGCAAGTCCATGATAAAGGAAACACGGAAACACAAATACACAGAGTTTAGTATTGGAGGTTATCACCCTGAGCTTAGTTGATTACTCATTTTTCCTTTGCTTCCATCTCCATTAGACTCCCCTTGAATTCCACCTGATCTGTCCGTCCGCTTCCTTTTGGTTCTTGTGCTTAACTCTCATGTTCTTATACCAGCTTTTTTCAGGCAAGGACCAATAAAATCCAACAGTTGATCATCTCTTGACCAGCTATTCCCACCTCCAAGAGAAATGAAACTCCAGATGACTATTGAAGAAACGTTCAAAGGCATTCCATGCAACCAAAGTCCTCCTATCTACTGACTCACTAGACCAGGGGTACTCACTACTGCAGGGGTAGGCAACCTTGGCTCTTTTATGACTCGTGGACTTCAACTCCCAGAATTCCTGAGTCAGTATGGCTCAGCTTGGAAACCTCTCCCTTTCTCCTCGGCGTGGCTGGCTCAGGAATTCTGGGAGTTGAAGTCCACGAGTCATAAAAGAGCCAAGGTTGCCTACCCCTGCAGCAGACCTTGCACTAAATGGGAGAATTTTGATTGCAAGGAAGGTCTTTGAATGCTCCTTCAAGAATCATCTGGAATCGGCAGGGGGCCAAAGGGGGCTTGCAAAGGTCATTGCAAAGGGAAATCAAGACCAACCCATTTTCTGGGGAATGTCCTAAAAAGGGGAAAGAGGTCACATACCGGATTGTACACCGTCATTCCACCGATGTTCTGAGAAAGGAAAGGAAAGGACACTTGTTATGGAGATCTAGATAGTCTAAGTTGGAGCTAAAAGATCCAGAATTCTCATCATGGGTGTCCAGCAAGGATGCCCTAGTTCTCACCAAAAGAGGAAATTCTCTCCTTGTCTAGAACCGTTCATTCATGGTTGAGGCTGGTCCATCAGGGAACTACTCATGATGGTCCAAAGGCTTAAGCCTGTGGTGGCGAACCTATGGCACGCGTGCCAGAGGTGACACTCAGAGCCCTCTCTGTGGGCACGCTCGGCATGCCCCGGAGATGGCAACCGTCCCTCTTCAACCACCCACTAACTCGTCGAGGTCCTACATGGCTGGATGCATCCCAGCATCCATGCGCTCGCTGGCCTCTGTGTGCGAGGGCCAATGGTGTCAGGCAGCAGCTACCCTGGCCCCTACCTCGCCTTGCCCTACGACAATGGTACCCCTGCCCTGCCTCACCTCACCCCACAGGACGAGCCTCCTGCCCACCGCCCCACCTGCCAGAGACCCCCTGGATCTCCCCCAACCCTGCCCGGCCCCCACAGGCGTCCCTCCCCATGAGCAACATCGAGGTGACCATGCCCAGCTTGGCCACACCCACCCAGTCTGCCATGACCACAGCCACGCCCACCCAGTGGGCCACGCCCACCTGGCACCCGGCGATAAACAAGTGGGTTTTGGGTTGCAGTTTGGGCACTCGGTCTCTAAAAGGTTCGCCATCACTGGCTTAAGCAAAAGTGTAAAATACTCAATACATAGAACAGGTAGGCTTTGCTTAATGTCGGTAATTGAGACCAGCCACTCTGTCACTAAGCAATGCAGTCTTAAAGTGTGGCGTCACAGGACCATGCCAGCTTACAAGGGCGGTTGTGGCAGTTCTGTTTGATGCCATTAAGCAAATCGCATGCTGTCATTAAGCACAAAAGACACAGGAATGTCTTTGTGATTTCCTGCCAGCTTCCCCAGTGACTTTGCCAGCAGTGAAGGTGACAAATGGGGATCACGTGACTGTAGGATGCTGTGGCCGTCATAATTGTGAGCTGGTTGCCAAGCACCCCAACCATGATCATGATGGGGCTCTACAACGGTTTGCAACTATGATTCACCCATGGTGAACCTCCTCCTCCAGCGCCATTGTAACGTTGAACGGCCACCGCACAAGTGGATGTTAAACCAAGGCTGAAAAATTCACAGCCTCAATCTTTTTTTTTTCTTTTTTGCAAACAGAACACCAGTAAATAAACACTCAAATGCTACTTACATTCATAGGTGGGTTGGGATTGTAAGGTGGAGGCGCATAAGGAGGTGGAACCTGAAATGCAGAAGGAGCAGTGGGTAAGTATGGATCCATGATTGACCCCAAATTCATGATTGGACAACCGGAGTTAGCAGCATTTTTCCTAATAAGGAAGGACTTTCGTTGCCAAGCAAAGAATTTTTGGAGGCAGCCTTTGCTGGACAGCCATTTGTCCGAAATGGTATAGGGTTTCCTGCCTGAGCAGGGGGTTGGACTAGATGACCTCCAAGGTCCCTTCCAACTTTATCATCATTATTATTATTATTATTAAAAGGCAGCTGTTTTGACTGTGAGCTTTTCAAAGTGGAAAATGATGGTCCAACTGAAATCAACTCGATGATGTGTGGACCTCAGCTCCCAGAATTCACCCAGGCAATAGAAACCTCTGTACCGATAGAAGATAATATTTACAGCTCAGATTTGAACCGTGGGGTTCTTGGTGCTCTCTGAACTGGGTGGTTTTCTTGCAGACGTCTCATGACCATACTAGGTAACATCATCAGTACACCAAATGCAAACGTTTCTTGTTTCCCGCAAATCAAGTTACAAAAATCCATGCTGGTAAATTGAACTTGGGGGGGGGGGGGTTAGATGCTAGTGGCAGTACTCACCAATCCGCCTGTGAAATTGATCCAACTCAAGGAGATGTCCCCTTTGATCTGCAAAGTCTGGACCAGATGCATGGGAAGGCGGTGTCGGTAATCTATGAACTGGCTGCCATTGACGGAAACCTAAAGAAGGGAAAAGAACAGAATGAGAAGTGAAAGTGTGTGTGTGTGTATATATCCGTGGCTTCGGGGTGGATTTCCATCAGTACGCTGACGACACTCAGCTGTACATATCCACCCCGGGCCACCCCAACGATGCCCTTGACGTGATGGCCCGATGCCTGGAGGCCGTGAGGGTCTGGATGGGGAGGAACAGACTCAGACTCAACCCGTCCAAGACCGAGTGGCTATGGCTTCCAGCGCCTCGGCATAGT